AAGGACTATCTATTCCCTAACTAGCTTTTAATAAAGGATAGTATTAATCTTATAAATACTTATTAATATAATTTATATTACCTTATAGTATTCTTTAAAGTCTACTTTAAGCTAGTAATAGAATTAGCTTTTACTAAGTAGTATTAAGCCTTCTTTATTCTTTCTATAGTTCTTTATATATATCTTTTAATATAGCTTTATTTTAAAGTAAATAAAGCCCCCTTCTATATCTATTATTAGCCTATAGTAGGTAAGCTAAGGTAGTCTAAATATTATTAGCCTTAATAATATAGGTATTATATAGAATAAGATTAAGAATACCTAGCTATTAATATCTACCTTAACCTTTACTATATTAGATATTATAAACTCTAATACCTCTTCCTTTATAGCTAACTTAATTCTTTATTTAATTAGTAGTAGGATTCTTTTAAGGTATAGCCTATTTACTACCCCCTCTTATATTACTTTATAGTATTTATAGCCTAAGTTAATAAAGGTATTTATTAGTATATATACCTTTAGGATAGTAAAGATAAAGAATAGTTTAGTATTTATTTATTTAACTATCTCTTTCTAGACTACCTTATTTTACTTATCTATTCCTTTTTAACCTTTTATTATAACTAATATACCTAGAAAGAGACTTATCTTTAAATATTTTCTTTTTTTAAGCTATTAGACTAATCCTTTATAAAAATACTACTTATATAAACTAATATTAAAAGTCTAGCTAGCTTAAGCCTATAAACTATAATTATATAGCCTATCCTTCTATAATAAAGGTATTACCCTACTTCCTAGTATATATTAAATACTACCTTAAATACCTATATAATATACTTTCTAGACTATATACTACTTAAGGTTATACTACTAGTAGCTAGTTTAATTTTAAAAGTATAGATACCTATTATTTAAATATCCTCTTTATAGTCTATATATTATCCTTATAATCTTTATTATAATCTAGCTTAGTATTACTTCTTAATTCTATATAATTTAAAGTTAACTATTACCTTTTAAAGTACCTAGATTATATTATTATAGTTTATTTAAAAAATACTATAGCTAATTATAAGTATCTTTATTATAGTTAATAATATAAAGTAGAGTTTATTTAGCTTAACCTTATCTAACTATATAAAACTACTAGCTAAGGTTAACTTTTATTTAAAGTATATATAATAGTAGTTAAAAGACTCTTTATTACCTTATAAGATTATATTAAGGTTTATTATTACTATAAACTATTAATAAAGGTTATTAAATACTATCTTAAAGTATCTTAAGAATTTATATAGGTTTATTATACCTTAAAAACTACCTACTTTAAAGTATATAATAACCTTTAGTTATAATATAGTATTAAGGTTTACTTAAATATATATAAATTAAGACTTTAAGGGGTTAATAAAGTCTATATTAGTCTTTAACTTATATACTATAGCTTACTTTTATCCTATAAATACCTTAAGGTTATTATTAAACTTCTTACCTATAGGTAGAAGCTTTTACTAAACTATAAGTAGGTTAGCTAGGGAAGGGGTACTTTCTAGTATTACTATCTAACCTTAAGGATTTTAGCTAGCTATAGTCTAGGTATTAAAAAGGTCTTATAATTATTATAACTCCTTCTTTAAGAATATATTCTACTTTATTATAGCTATAGTCTAGGCTAGGAGTACCTAGTAAGCCTTAACTATTAATAACTATTATTTAGGTTATAGTTTTACTATTATTACTTTTATCTTACTAGCTTTTCTTTTAGCTAGGTAAAAAAGGTATTAATATAGAAGAGAGTTAATTATTAAAGACTAGCCTTAGGATATTTATAGATAGGTATTATAATAATATTAACTCTCTTATAAAGTAAAAGAGGAGGAAAAGCTAGTCTATTTATCTACTATAGTATAAAAAGGGGGTATACTAGGGGTGTGCCTATAGTAGCCTTAGGCTAAGTCTAGCTAGAGTAGGCTTAAGCCTAACTCCTTTATAATAAGCTATATATATATATTTATATAAATTATTACTAAAACTAAAGGCTTAGCTATAAATATAGTATTTAGTTATACCTTATATAATAGTAATAAAGTAGGTATTAATAGTCTTTTCTAACTCTTTAGCTAGGGTATATACTATTATAGCTTATAGATTATTAAAATAATCTATTAAGCTATATTCTTCCTTCTTTAATAGTATATCTATAGACTAGTTATCTCCCTAGGTTATACCTTAATCTTCTATTTCCTTATCTTACTAGTATATACTTACTATTTACTATAGCCTACTACCTTAATTATATCTACCTTAATTATATAGCTAGTATAGAGTATAATATAGGGGGTATATATTATTCCTATACTTACTATAGCTATTATTATTTTTTCTAAAGTTATTTATATTCTATATACTACTACTAGCTTAAGGTAGGATGCCTATATTACTATAGAATAGTCTAAAGGGGGTTGCCTATAGGGCCTTCTTTATATCCTATAGCTACTATATATAGCCCTAGCCCTATTATATATATACTAGGGGTAGGAATTACTAGCTATCCTAATAGCTATTTAACTATTACTATCTTTACTATTTATTATAAGACTAACTATAGATATTATATAGCTTAGATAGGTATTATATTACTTAATCTAATTATAGTATATAAGGTATATTATTCTACTTTTACCTTATAAGATCTCTTATTATATTTTATTATTCTTATAATATTATTATAAGCTATAAAGCTATAGTATTTAGTACTAATAATAATAATAAGCTATAGATTATTAGGTTAAGAGAGTTATATACTATCTAAAGCTATACTTACTAGCTTAATTTATAAGCTTATATATCTCTTAATACTTATAGGGTATATATTTTAATATTATAACTATTATATATATCTATTAAAGTATATTAGGCTTTTATTAAGTCTTTAATAGCTTTTATTATTAGTTTTTACTATTTTTTAATAAGACTAGTATAAATATCCTTTATAGATATATTATAAAGTAGTTATTAGTTTACTATAGTAAGGTAGCTATTATACTATTAGGTAGCTTTATTATATAAATAGGTAACCTAAATATCCTTAACTTATTATTTATTATAGTTAATAATATATTACTTAAATTAGTCTATAAATATATAAATATAGATAAAGGTTAGATCCTTACTAGCTCCTATAACCTACTTAGTTCCTTATTTATCCTAATATTTAAGGTTAAGATTAAAGAAACTAATATTATTCTTTTAAAGCTTAGTTAGCTTAAGCTTATTAGCTACTACTAATATTACTATAAATACTACTAGTATCTCTTTATAGTAATATATTAAGGTTATTTCTATAATAGTAGTTATTTATACTAAGGCTACTAGGAAAAGTATACTAATATCCTATATAGGTAGTAAGGAGTTACTTAGAGGGGGTATACTTCCTATCTAGCTTACTTAATAATAGCTTACTTATAGATTTTCTATTAAGGTTATTTACTATCTAGTATTTACCTATATATAATAAGATAAGCTAATTTCTCTAAATCTAGTAATAAAATTTAAAAAGAAGGCTAGTATTAGGGTTAAATAGGGATAAGAAGGGGTTTAGTTTTATATTAAGAAGGTGCTTAGTAGGCTAAATATATATACCTAGCTTCCTTCCTCTTATCCTCCTACTTCCTATCTTTCTTACTCTTCTTACTATATTTATTCTCTTCTTTAATATAGCTTAGGTCTTATTAGGAATAGCTCTATATAGGCTTAGTAGATAAGCTACTTTATAGGGACTATATAGTTTTTTATAAGTATATATATATTTATATAAGTTCTCTAGGCTTTTAAAATAGTATATACTATACTTAAGTTAAGAGGAGTCTTCTTTTACTTATCTATCTAGTCTTATATATATATAATATAAGCTAGCTAGTTTAAAATATAAGTTAAATAACTCTTATCTATTTCTATATATAGTAGCTTAGTATTAATATACTACTTAGCCTATTAAAGCTAGTATATTTTAGCTAGTATTTAAATTAACTAGCTTAGCTAGATTTACTTTTATAATACTAGTATTAAGAAGGGATAGATTAAATTAAAGGGGGGGGGGGGTATTTAATATATTAGCTATAGCTAATTATAGGTAGGAAAAAAAGAAAAATGAAAATAAATATTACTTAAGGTCGCTATTAATAAGAGCTTTAAATTTAATAAATTTTAATAGTCTCTAATAATCCTACTAGTGTTGCTACTATTTTATTAGGTATAAGGGAATTTGGTAAGATGATGATAATGTATTCTCTAGCTGCTGAGTGGGTGGCTTATGGCCCTAAGTAGTGCTGTGCACGTGATAAGCACACAATCAGAAACCCCTTCAGCTTGGTTCGGTCTAGCAGCTGAGACGTTGGATCATTATTTTCATGACGAAAGCATTTGCTCTCGAGACTTCCCGTGCAAGATTCACTCAAGCGGCTGTCTCTTGCACGACGAACGCGTGGACAAGCTCACACGTCCGATAGGCAGATGCACCAGACACTTCCCTTTTTGGCACTCATTTGAAGCAAATTATGAGTCACCGGTTTCATTTTCTCCAACGAAACGCCGTGTGCGCTTCAGCGAGTCGTCTCGCCGCCACCTGCGAGTTTTGCAGGGCGAAAATGACAACTCTAATCGTCAGCCCCGATCCACAGAGAGGAAAGAGAAAGCTAATCCTCCACCGCCTTGATAACCATCCTGTGAGTATTTCCAGAGACGGTCCAGTAGATTAATGTGCATTATAATTTCATGAGCTGGCAGTTGGGCTATTGGGCGTGAGAATGTAACGTGAATGTACGCCTCCACCAGTGAGGTACTCAATTAATATTGATGAATACGACCCGCTCCGACTAGATGAGTCTCAACCCAGGATGAGCTGTCTGTTTCAACGTAGCATGAGAGTAGCTGTTGTTGTTATATGTTCCTCCCCAGAGCTGAAAATTGTCCTCGTCTCATGTTATTCCTGTTTATTAGATGCCGGCCAAAAGGCCGGGCGCTGGGGCGCGGCCAAGCCACGAAACGGGCTAGATCAGACGTCCATGAGTCGTTGATCTGCTAGTCAAACGAGGGTGACGCGTTTCTCGAGGTTCAGACTATAAACAAAAGAGACTGGGTAAATTGCTTGGCCGACATTTTCATTTCTGCTGAAAATCCGGAGCAAGATAGCAATGCTCTTGGCCACGACCCCTGCCTGCTGACGCAGCGTGCTATTAGTTAGTTAGATATGACAAGGCCGGCCCGCCAGATCGAATTCTCCGCCGCCCCAATGAGGCGCACACCGCGCGCTCGGATGCTGCTGATGGATGGACTCGGAGCTACGGCATTCGGAAGGGTGCTTGATTGGTTTTTCGGGAGAGACAGACCAAGTCGGAGTGAGCCCGCGTATAGGAACCAGAAACTGCTCGTCGTAACCACGTCAAAAGGAACCTGTGTGTTCTCACGCTTGCGACTACCCTATCCAGGGCTATCTAAAGAGGTTCATAAGCACCTTAAATAACACGTTGCGTAGCGACGTCTGCATGAGGGCGTGGGCACATCCCCCACGTTAATAATACACTTGTTGAACAAGCGTGACTCGGGTTGAGCCCCAGTGGGACACAAGTAGTTGGCCTCTCCAAGCCATTAATCTATCCGAATAGCTTCCTTCCCAAATGGGGCAAAGTCTCCCGGCTTTGGGGCGCCTCGCTCATATTAGTTTGCATGGTGGATCATATGACGCTATCAACATGACGAGGCATGGTTACAGAGAGAGGGTTTCTAGACGTGAGAAAATACAACAAGAAAAAAACACCTCGAAAAATCTGCTAGAAAGGCCTCATGTTTGAGAGTGGAGGGAGATTATAAAGATTACGACAAACTGGCCCAACAGGATGGCCATTTCTGAGCCTCCACTTTATCCGCATATCGACAACTTGAAGCCCTTGGTGCCATGCCCTTGAAGTTGTTTCAATGCACCACTTGAAAATCTTGTTTGATGACGATACGTCTTGCTATCAATTGAGGCCGCCCGGGGAGGGGGCTGCAATAGTATGACGGGTGCCAATTCTATTATTGTAACGTCGCCTAGGATCACTACCGCCGCACCTGCCGAGAGGATGAAACCAGCCGGGATCCAGAAAAACAGACGTCTGGTTTTATTAAGCTGAGAGTCGTTTTAATGCCGACGAGTGTGTGTGCTCAGGGCCCAAGACGCCGAGCGTCGTCACCAGAAAAGGGAACACACACACACACACACACACAGGCCGCTCAGTTCTCGAGATGGGACGTCGAAAAGGGTTTCGCTGTAACACGGACCGCTCCACTACACTAACCAAAGTTTCTTCTCCAGCCTTCTTCATTGGGAATCACAGAATCCGCTCGGGGCTTTTTTAGCGAGGGCGTGTATGAGCATGTATCAGGTTCCTCCCAAGGGCGCCCCTTATCTGATGGGCTTGTGTGTTGGGCATAGGCAACCTGACGAGAGCCATGTGGCCGATCATGCCAGCGGGATATGCGGCTCTGCTGTTGGGTCCGAGCAGGAGGAACCTATTTAGTAATGCTATTCTGCACATTAGTCGAATCGGTTCGAGTTTCCATTTAAGTGAAAGCAGAGCCGAGTACTGGTTGCCCCTCTATGATCCCGACTTACATCCATCTGTCTAGTCAACATAGCGGCCGTTGCCCTTTTGCCCGCACATGGTATTATAAGCCTTGCCACCAACTGGGCTATTTTTTTATTTAGTCGAAACCATCCTTTGAAAACTCTATCCCCTTTTATTCCAGAAACTCGCCTCACTTCTTCTTTTCTTGCTTCGGTGGCCGCTGGTTCGTTCCTGCCTTCCTACCTCACCACACAACACAACGCAATCACTGCCAGTCTTTGGTTCAACTACTCGCCCATACAAGACTCTACGAGTCCCATTTCAACAGTCTTTATTCGCAGCGATTTTTTATTTACAACCACGTTTCGTTTCGTCCTCCGCAAACCGCCACAATGTCCGGCTACCCCCCCGCGCTCATCAAGAAGTTTGCCATACGGCACGAGGATAATGTCAAAGCCATGGAAGGGTTCACATTTGCCACGCTTGCCATCGGTGGTGTCTTTGTTCTTCTTCATCTTTCAAAAAGCGCCTACCATGTCTTTCGGCGTTGGCAGGGTGGCAGCAGGGGCTCAGCTCTGCTGTCGTCACCTATGAGGTATGTGGCCATGTCAACTGCTGCAACTCAACAGCTAACAAAGTCAGAATGATTCGACAATGTTCCATCTATTCTGTCCCATTCTTCCCATCCGCCGGGCACGCCCTCATTATCGTCACCTACATCGCGCTCAACTTTGTCTTCCTCTTCGCCTTCTTGGATAACAATAATTTCGGGTTTATTACGAACATTGCATCCAGAACCGGATGGTAAGTGGACGGGAAATACTATTGTCTATGGCAGTCTCTAATGGTTTTTAGGCTCGCCCTAGCCAACATGATCTTTTCGGTTTTCCTCGCACTCAAGAACACACCGCTGGCGTTCCTAACAGCCTGGTCCTACGAACGCCTCAACATTTTGCACAGGTACTCTGGAATGTTTGCAGTCCTACACATGATCATTCATGCCATCACCTACTCTGCCTACTTTGCTGGCCAGGGACAACCCGAGATGCTCACCATGAAGAGCAGCATCTACGGCATTCTCGCTGGCGCGTCGTTCTTTCTCCTCGGTGTCAGTGGCGTTGTGCTGCGTCCGTGGTGGTATGAACTGTTCTACTACGTGCATATAGTATTCTTCGCCCTTGCCATTATCATGACTGGCCTACATCAACCTTCATTTGTTGATGGCTTCCTGATCATCACAGTCCTGACCGGGTCCATGTGGGTGCTCGACAGGCTCATCCGCTTCGTCAGACTTGTCTCCTACAGCTTCAACAATCACGTTACTCTTACACCGCTTCCTCATGGTGGTACTCGTGTTACCCTGGCCAAGGCACCTCTCGGGGCGCTTTCTGGAAAGCATTGCTTTTTGTGGATTCCCGCCATCCGCTCCTTCGAGACGCATCCGTTTACCATTTCTGCCATGAACCCGCTTGAGTTTGTCGTGACAGCACATAACGGATTCACAAAGGACCTGCACAATCTTGCCGTTGAGCAACCCGGGGTTGAGTTTGGGGCGTCTGTCGAGGGCAGCTACGGCACCTTTCCGAAGCCCTCCAGCTTTGACCATGTTGTCCTGATCGCCGGCGGCACTGGAGCAAGTTTCACCTTTGGCGCTGCTTTTAACGCCCTAAAACACCTAAATGGAAGGCAGAAGACAAAAATTATGTTTGTCTGGACTGTTCGTCATCGATGTACGTACAACTCTTCTATCCACACAATTCTAGCACTAACATGACAAGCCATCCTGAGCTGGTACGCAAGCCACCTTCAAACGCTGTGCAACGACAGCAGAGTCTCTGTCCACGTATTCGTTACCAAGGACAGGGACCCAAGTGGATTATCCATGCCAAATTCTGCAGCTCGGCACCATATTTTCCCAAGGACTCATGAAAACTCGCGACTTGACATGTCCTCGGCATCTAGCATGTCTGGGGATGCTGAAAAGAACATTGGTGGCGTTGTGAACGAGGACGTGGAAATCTTTTCCGGTATTCCTATTACGTGGAAGCGTCCTGACGTGCCGGGCATGATCCGTGGCGTAGTCTCAGGGGCTGCCAGAGAGGAAAGTGTTTTGGTCATGGGCTGCGGGCCAGGCAAGTTGATGAAGCAAGTTCGCAACACTACGGCGGCCTGCATTTGGTCAGACGGTCCCACGGTAGAGCTGCACTGCGAGGAGTTTGGGTGGTAAACTTGAGTGGTTGTGTTTCTTTGTTTGATCATGTATTTACCGAGCGTTTCTTTGCCCGCCTCTTCTAAACGTATTGTTGGGGGTTTTCTTTTTTTTTTTTTTTGGATAAAAATACCACATTCGGTCCTCTAAATGATAGTCAGGCTCTCATACACGCCGCGTTCCATATGAGCATATCGACAGCATTTTGACAACCAATCAGTTCAGGCCACCCACGCCATAGAAAACGTGCTGTTTCATCTGAGCCCCGTCGCCGTGCCTGCCCCTGACCACTAGCATTATGCGCAAGTCATGCTTATCTCCCTGATCAGCCAACCAAGTCCGGCTCTAGTTATGAGCAGGTGGTGCCTGAAAATCTTGCGCGAGCGCGGCGCAGCGCCCGCGCACGGCCAGCCAAGGTTTGCGGTCCGCACGATCTTCAAGTATCCGTGGGTTGGTCGTTGTAGGCTTTGGCCCCTCCAATCAGCACGGCCGTCCGAGGGTTCCTATAATTCGACCAACAAGGCCAAGCATGTGATGAAGCATAGTCATTCAGCTTCCGTTACGGATAGATAACTATAAACAAGGAAAATTACAGAGTTAATTCTTTATCGCTAATATATAAAAAAAGGTGACATGGTCATGTCCCCAAGCACACCGCAAAACGCCGAGACCCCTGCAAAGAGGTCTGAATTCAAAGGGTATAATATCATAGCAGTCATCCTCCAGCCAGTGCGCCATTGTTTCCCGAGAAGAGACCCGACGGCATAGATTCAGGCGTATTAAATAGTGCAAGTCTTGCCATCGCATGGGTCACATTAATATTGTGTTTGTAGCCCTTGCTGGTTTCCGTGGGCTGTATTATTCGATTTGTTTCGTTTGTTTGGTGACAGGGACCTCGCCGTTATTGTGTTCCCCGTTTGCGTGTTTCTCCTCATCTCTTCTTGCTTCATGCAAAGGCCCCTGCGGGTCAATGAGCAATTTCGCATCCTTGGAGAGGGAGAGGTAGCCAGAGTACAGAATCATGGCGCTTTGCAGAGCGACAATGACAATGAAGGCGTTGTGCACAGTGCCGCCCTCGTGGATGATGCCATACATGATGAATGGGAAAAAGGCCGGCCCGGACCCTCCCATGGTGATGAAGGCGGCTGCGCGCTTCGTTCTCCGCCCCTGGCCGCGCAGGCCCATGGCGAAAATGAGTGGCCAGATGGGGCCCTCGCCGAAGAAGAAGAGCATGACCGGGACGATGATGTAGTTTGGGTCCGATGGTCGCAGCGTGACCAGCAGAATGGAGGATATGAAGCAGATGAGGATGCAGATTGTGAGCAGCGTGCGCGGTTTGGGGACGAAGCGCACTCGCACGGAAAAGTAGCAGATGATCGAGGCCAGAATCCGGGACGCCGCAAAGATGGACTGCCCGCATAAGAGATAGTCGGCGGTGGACAAGCTCAGGCCAGGCACTTGCTGCGGATGGACTGTCGATCCCGTCGCCGCAGTGGACCTTTTGGCGTGGTCCTCGGCAGCATCGGCCGCGACCAAGTTGCCAAACCAGATGATGTTACTTTCTTGTGTGGCGACGTAGAAGTACTGTGCCAGCACGGCGAGGCTGAGAGTGACGGTGCGCAGCTCAAGGCCGAACCACGACTTCTTGGCGGGATGGATGGGGATGCGCTTGGTCGACTCCTCGAGCTCCTCGTCGCTGACCTCGGGGAGGGGCATGTAGTAGAAGAACAGGCCCAAGGCGGCACACAGCAGCGTGATGCCGAGATATGTCCACTGAACATTGACCAGGTTGATGGAGCTGTGGCTTGCTTGCTGCAATCCGGAAAAGAAGACGCGCTGGGCCAGCAGCGCGCTGACGACGCTCCCGATGGCCTGCACGGCCTGCGCCAGCATCAGGCGCATCTCGCCATAGGCGTGCGGGCCGCAGAGAACCATGAAGGAATTGGCCGCGACCTCGAGCACGGACAGGCCGAAGCCGACGACGAAGCTGCTGAGCATGTAGCCGCCGTACGAGTTTGTCACCGCCGAGGGCCAGAAGATGATGGTTCCGATACCGTAGATGGACAGCCCGAGAATAAACGTCACTTTGTAGCCGCCGACGTTCTCGGCCTCGTTCTTCGAGTGTCGCTTGGACCGATTGTGCTCGTCGCGTCGGAGGATCCATTCGCCGACCAGAATAGGACCAAAAAAGTAGCCGCCTCCGAAATACGCGCTGGTTAGGCCCAAGGTTTCGGCCGTGGACATGCCGTTGACCTCTGCAATGGCGCTGTTGAGCGTGTTTAGCAAACCATACGAGAAGCCCCAAAGCAGGAACAGTATAGCGACCAGAGTCCCGTATTTGAACGACTCCCTGAGGTTTGTCTTTAGCATACTTTTTGGTTTCCTCATATTGACGAAGCCGAAATAGACGCCGTTTTCAGAAACACTACCAGCGGAGCTCAGGACGTTTGTGCGTGGTCTGGTCTGGTTTATTGCATCGAGGTTGATCTGGTCAATGCGCATTCCTGGGGTCGTGATAAAGTCAATGGCCGTCACGGAATAATCCCTAGTATCCGGTATATCGGCCCTTGCAGGCATGGAAGCGGGTTGCGGAATGGCAGGGCTGTTTTGCGTTGTCGCGACGCCCTGGCTATCGGTTTCGCGGTCGCTGGGGCCACTCTTGGAAGCCGACGCGGTTCTCGTGCGGTTAGGGTCGTAGAGCATGGCGGGAAGCAGGCGCACGACAAGCGGTTTGAGAGTCGGGATACAGGCGCAGGCGATGCCGACATTGACCTCGACGACGCTCCACATGAGCGACAGCGAGGCGTAGTAGGCAAAATCGGTATTTCCGCCAAAGCGAGCGTCCTGGCTGCTGTGAATGGAACCATGGCTGGAGCCGATGGCTTGCTGCAGGTAGTAGATGCGAATGACGTCGACAATGGTGACGAATATGCCAATGGTAAAGGTCAAGATGAGAATCGTCTTTTGTCGCGGAGGGAGTCGCATGCTGGTCAGGACGGGGATGGGGAGGGCAAGGATGGCGAGATCGGTGACGATGTTGACGGGTGAAGCGCAGATAAACTCGGTCAGAAGCGGGATGCATCTGGCAGGTCCGTCGTAAAGGGCTTGCCAGGCGGCGTGGATGGGCGAGCATTGGAAGATGTTCATAAAGGTGAGAACAGTTCCGGCGAGGTTGACGACGATGAGGGTGAACCACGAAGCATAACGTAATACAAGTTGCGTGTTTTTGGCGAGCCGCAAGTAGAATATCAAGATGCTGGTCTTGGCAGCCATCAGTGCAGGGTTCTTTGTCCAGTTAGTGTTGCATTCATAGCCGTAGCGTGTTGTTGGCCGCACGTACGTATAAGATGGAAAAGACGTATTCGCAACGGCGAAGCCTGGGCAAGTCGCGATCGTCAATGTCTGCGTCATATTTGCCCAATCCGCTAAAAGTACCCAAAGCGACGGTAAAAGAGAGGAAAAAGGCCAAGAGCCAGGCCAGCATCATGATGCTGTCGCCCCATGTCACCTTTTTGACGATGAAGAAGCGGCAGGCGATGCGCGCAAAGACAAAGACGGAGGAAATCACCAGTGTAATGACGGTGACGGCAAAGACGGCCGGGCCACGATTTGGCACATGCCTGGTGGCAGCGCTGGTGTCGTCGTCCATGGCGATGCGTGCGACATGCGGGCGGCTGCGCGCCAGGGCTTGGTTCGGGTGGTCACCTCACCTCACCTTAGGCGAGCGGGAGCTGGGCTCCTGGTGATGATTTTTTTTGGAGGTGGTGGGCGGCGGCGGCGCAGATCGCTAACCAAGTAAAGCGCGGGGGGCCATGGCCGCGGAATCGCGCGTCTCGATTGAGCGTTTTCTGGTGATGTGTGTTTTTGCATGCGCGTAGCAGAGGCGACGGGAAAGCGATTGGGGAAAGAAGAATAAAAAAAACAAAGGGAGGTGAAATCTGGCGGGTTGCAAGAGCCAGGCTTGTTAATATGCGCGCTGTGGGTGATCAAAGGTGGCGTTGAGTCGGGGCGGGACGCCTCGAGGTCCTAGCTGCTCTCGCCTGTGGCAAACGGTGCACTGGCGGAACTGGAAGGCTGGCGCATGAATGTAACTACTAACCAGTAGAAGATGGAGGGTAGGCCGAAACAAAAAGAGCAACGTTGTGTTGATCTAACCGAAAGCTTTTGGGAAGAATGAAAGAGAAGGCGGCGGCGACGGCGGCGGCGCGGGGAAAGAAAGTAGCGGAGTCTGGCGGCGCAGAGGCGGCGCTCGAGGGCGGCCTGGACCAACAGCCGCTGTACAAAAGTGCGTGACAACCAGCCAGTCAGTTCTCGGTCACACCCATAATTCGTACACGCTGCTCATTTGCTAACAAGATGCAGCGTAGATCGGTCCACCCATTCGCTCCAAGTCACTAACAGCTCGCACGGCGCTAACTACGAGGTCGAACCATCGTCTAGATGCAGCTGGCCAGCCACTGGTTGCGCAGACCGCCATGTCGTCACTGTTGAGCGCTAGCAGTACCTAGTAGTGTTCCCTCTCTGAATGTTGGTTGGCGGCTTGCTATCACGGCACTTTAATTTCTGTCCGAGTTGCTAACACAAGGCGGGACTGGTGTCCGGCAATTCCAAGCAAATGGAGAAGAGAATCCGAGTACGGCAGCGAAAAGCGGCTTTCGTCTGTTCGTCTTCCGGACCCCCCCCCGCTGCTTTACGTTATTGCCGCAGAATCCAGTCGTCCCTCGAACCGAGGCGGAGGCGCGCCCATCCCCGCTGTAGCTGCGCCCCCCACCAGCTCGAGGACAGAAATTGCGAGGCTTTTTTTCTTTTTCTTTTTTTTTCGCCTGGGCACCGGTGTTAGTTACTACTTCATAGCATAGTGCGAAAGAATTGTCGACATGTCATGTTAAACGGTGTCTTCATGCTCCATGTCGAGAGGAAACAGTGACTAAAATTTGCTGTTTGCATCAAGCATTTCAGACATGACTAGCCACAGTAGCGCCGATGACCCCGTCGTCCACCAAACCCTTCATAACGCGCAGGTTATAACCCGGCCGTCGCCCGCAGGGTTCTTTTGCTCGTGGCTTGCAAGAAAAAATTATTTCAAGTGACAAAGTGGCTCTCGCACGGAGCAGACGTTGCAAGAGGCTTGCTCAGGGGTCCCATGTGCGACTTTGCGCGTCAAATGCGCGTTATTATTAATAGTTGCAACAAGTTGGTCGTTGTCGTGCGACCATCAAGCAAGAGAGAAATCAACGGTCGATTTTCACGGCAACAACGGCTATGCATACCAAAGAGTAGGTGAACATTTCACATGTCCTCGCGGGTAATCGGCATCTACCAGCTGTCAACCCAGCAAAATCTCCGACAACTGCCTCGATTGGCCAATGTGCGACCCCTGCCAACAAGTCGCGGGGCTCGCACAACTTTGTGCGACATGGGATGCAATCCACTCTGGTTGCAGATGACAGCGGCTACTTGCAGATTTTGCACTCGAGACTGAAACACGATGGTTCTTGGCTTTCGCGGGGATGGGGCAACCAGAGATCAAGTAACGAGTGCTCTGCAGGACGAGTAAATAGCTGCTCGATACTTGGCTTCTGCACCGTCATTGCATTATATTATACTGCACTTATACCCGCTGCAAAGTGGCTGTTGGTAAAAATTAGTGTAGCATGTGCTGCTCGGCCCTGTTCGCTGTGGGTGGACATTGCCTTGGAATCTCCGTGTTCAGCGTCCAAACAGTCGACTTGTAATACAACCGTCATCTACCAGGCGAAAGCCGCTTCAAAAATATGTGACCAGTCTTCGGTGCCTCGTCGACCGTAGTCCAATACAATGAGTAACAAAAGAGCAAGCAAAAGCAAAAAAACTGGCTTTACCCTGGATGCTCAATGCAACCCCCCAAAAAGTGAAAAAGGCAAAAGAAAGACGGCCGAAGCCTGAAAGGTAAGCCCAGTATGAGAATCGAACTCATGATCTTCTCATGTCACTGTATAAATACTAGTGAGACGCTATACCACTTAGCCAACCGGGCTTTTGGTGCTTATGAATTGGAGCCGGGTTATTACGCTTTATGTCCTTGGTAGCTGTGCAAACCCACCACCTCTAATAAAAGTTCAGCCTGCCTTTCAACCTTTTCGTTCAATTCAATATCAACTTGGTATATCAATTACGGGTATTTTCATCACGATTCTCCCTGTCCAGAGTCAGCGCCTGGTTGGTGTGCTTTATTTCTCCGGCGGCCTGCGGATTCCACCAATGGAGTCCCCGGTGAGCCAGGCGCACCTCATCAGTGGTACACACCTTGCAGCATCGTGCTTCCAGAATCTCATCTCGATTTTTATCCTTGTATACTGCCTTGAATCGATTTGATGGGCAAGCCACAAAAAATCCTTGCTGTCGTCAACGGGCATGGTGGGTTTTGAAGGGGGGGGGGTGTCTTCAAGCTGCAGAGGTGCGGCAGGTACGTTGCTCCGAAAGTCCCAAACGGTCTTTCGAGGAAGTGACGTGAGGTCTTGACTGGGATTACAAGTCGTTTTGTGTCTACGTTTTGTAAAAATGTGCGGTACCGAGCGCATACTCGGCCAGGCAATGACTTGGTTTGAGTAGATGTAAGTTGACTATGTGTGCAGAAAGCGAGTGATATATATATATATAGCAGATGCTAGCATAGTATACTCAATGTATTCAGATCGGCTAAATCCAGATTGCTATAGAAGCGGCTACTGCTGGTCATTCATCTCTCCTTTCACGTAGCTAGTCCAGTACGCTTGGCGGCCTGCCTTCAATGTTACGAGGTGACATTATCTCAATTGGAGAATCTTGAACTAGTAGTCAAGATTCTTTTGTGAATTCGTCTTCAAAATGTTCATTTCTGTCGACATTTTCGAAATACTTCTTCCCAGAGATTCCTCCATAGCAGCTCGCCTTGGACTACGAGCTGACGCCGGACCCACACTGCGACATCTCATCATCCCCAACCCCGAATGGGACAGATATTGCCTTCACGTCGCATCTTCATCATCTGCGTCAATCCAACCCAATTGACGACTAAAGATGCGCGGCACGCCGGAAAGTAGAAAGGGCCCGGCAGAAGAGCGCTCTGCGCTCCTGGCAGATGCGGAGCGAGCTCCCGGCGGCCCGGCGCGTGTCACCTCGGCGGGCCACCCGGCGCACGACGTACCCAATGTTCCGGTCACAGTCTGGCGAGGCATCGCCATTGGCCTAAGCCTCGGCATTCTAGTGTTCCTCCAAGGTAAATTCAACACGGCGGCCCATACTTCCTCTTTTCCAAAATGAAGCGCTAAAAAAAATTGGCTACCCAGCGACCAACATGTCGGGCATGACCATGATCCAGGGCCAGGTCGCCGACGACATCAACGCGCACGCCGCCGCGTCCTGGTTCACGGCCGCGTACCTCATCCCGCTGTCCTCGCTGGCGACCGTCGCCGGGCGGCTGGCCACCATTTTCTCGCCGCGCAGCCTGGTGCTCCCCGTCGGCGCGCTCTTCGCCGCCGGCGCGCTGCTCACGGC